ATTGCCACTCTGAAGAGAGAGGTTCTGGGCTCCAGCGTCATGGTGCGGGGGCCGCATTTTGTGGTCAAGGACTCCTTACGAAGGGTTCCTTACCAAAGTGTCCGTATCCAGGGTCCCCATATAAAGGGATCATTCGTGTAATTTTGATTCAGCAAAGATGCCTGGCAACGGATTCTTCAGCAAAGGCTCGCTAGCAACTGATTTATGTTGATGACCCCTTGCAAAGGAGTCCTTACTAAGGATTCCTTACCACGGATTCCAGACCAATGTTTTCTTACCACGGATTCCGTACTCAGGGATGTTTGTTTAAGGATCCCCCGTTATTGTAGGTATCTTCATCATGTGTTTCAGTGAATAATGTTTTGTAGTCTCCATTCAAGACTTGCTAGTACGCATTATCTAGTGTAAGGCTACCTTCGTAAGAGGTCGTCTGTCAGGATGTTTAACACTAGTGCCTTACCAAGCACGGGCTCTTTAGTAAGGATGCTTTCGTACGGGGGTGTCTGTTCATATTTTAGTACAGACCCCTTTACGAGGTATTACTTGCTGTGTGTTCCTCAGCGAGCATTGTTGTGTGAGGATCCATTATTCAGCGTCCAGCGAGGATTCTGTATTACGGGTTGTTATCTTCACCCAGGACTCCTTGCGCAAGATTCATCATGAAGTATTTTGCAATAGCCATTTCTGATTAAGAGTTCCTTATTGGGGAATCCTCACAAATGACCTCTTGGTAAGGATTTCTTAACAAGGGCCTTTCATTACTAATTCCTTACCAAGGACTTCCCACTACGGAATCCGTACTGAAACCATTTTTGTTTCGAAGGAGATCTTATATAGGATCCCCTTCTACAAGGAATCCTTGCTGTACATGTGCTGAGCACAGATCCCTGCCAACGGATTCTTCAGTAAGGATGCGTAGTGAAGCGTCAATTTGGGACCCTTTACCAAGGATTCTTCAGCAAGGAATTCGCATGCGGGAATCCTTGCGAAGGATCCCCCATACCAGGATTCCCTAGTGCGGAATCTGCTGTGCGGGTTTTTGTGGTCAGGTTCTTTTGCGGGATAGTGTGTTGTTAAGGGTTATTGGGTCATTGTTTTTGAATACGGATGCTTTAGTATGGATTGTCTAGTCAGGATTCCGCACGTAGGATTATTGCACGTAAGCGTTTTTAGTCACGATGTCTTACTCATGGCTCGTATCCAGGAGAGGATTGAGTATCGATGAACTCGTAACTATGATGCAGTGCGCAAAGTCCTAAGTAAGGCGTATTTGCGAAGGGTTCCGTCGAAGGCCTTCTTTCTAAGATACACATACACCGGGATTCCGTAGTAAAGGTTCGCTACAAACATTTCCAGAGTTCGGGTTCTGCACGACGGATTCTTCAGTGATTACGGGTATCGTGCGAAAGTTTTCGTTACTTCTTTTGTATGGCTTCCGTCGTAAGGATTCGTGACCAAGGTATATTAACAAGTGGGTTCCTGACTACTGTGTCGTTGCAAGGAGTCTTTATCAATGTTTACGCAGTAAGGTACCGCATTGCGGGCCGCGACGCGCGTGTTGCATGCGGAAGTCGTGGCGAGTTTCAATGGGGGTGTATGCGTGTTTTCTTGTGTTCCTGGGGGTGTCGCGTCACGTCGCGCGGAGGGGGGGGCAGGGCGGGGTGACGGGGCCGCAGACCAGGGTTCTGCCACACGGGAGATTCTTGGGCAGCGACCCGTGGGCACGGAACCGCAGTCCGGGGTTGCGCTTTGTTGTTGTCGCCGTCGCCCGCGATCCCCCCCCCGGCCTACCCGCGACCCACCACGCGCCCGCCCCCTTCACTCTTACCCGCAGCTGCGGGGTGCTGCGTGCTGCTCGAAGCCCCCTCAAGCTTGGGCCGCGCTCCTCGGGGCCCCATCTTTGCACCGTCGAAGAGTGCGCATGCCGATGCTCCGTCTCTTCACGTGGACGGGGGCCCGCCGCCGCTGCGCCGCCCCAGGTCACGGGGCTGCCATCGCTGTCGCGAGAAGAGCTCCGGCGGCTGAAAGGTCGGGCCGTGAGCGAGGAGGCCCCGAGGGGGGCAAGTTGCATCGCTTGCTTCCCGTGCTTCTCGGGCGGGTGGTAATGGGGGGTGACCTGAGTGGGAGGTGGAGAAGAGGGCCCCTTTGAAGGCCCTGTTTCTCTGCACCCCCCCGCGGGCCACCCCCCATCACCACCCGCCCGACGTTCTCAGGGCCCCATCCCTCAGGGCCCCCTCCTGGAGCCACCGAGGATGGATCACGCCGATGTGCTGCTGCTCCTCCTCCTCCTCCTCCTCCTCCTCCTCCTCCTCCTCCTCCCTCCTCCTCCTCCTCCTCCCTCCTCCCTCCTCCTCCTCCTCCTCCTCCTCCTCCTCCTCCTCCTCCTCCTCCTCCTCCTCCTCCTCCTCCTCCTCCTCCTCTCCCTCCTCCTCCTCCTCTCCTCCTCAGGGGGGGGGGGGCCCGCCGCCGCCCGCCGAGACCCCAGGCGGAGCGCCTCGCGGCCATCGCGAGGATCGAGGCCCGCCGGGCCCCGCCGCCTCTCTCGGGCCGCGCCCCGCCGCACGCCTCCGGGCCGAGGGGCTCTCTGGGAGGCCTTCGGGGTCGGGGGGCGGGGAGGCGAGGGGGGCGCGGAGGGGACGGGGGGGGGGAGGAGGGAGGGGGGGGGAGGGCGGGGGGGTGGGAGGGGGGAGGCAGGGAGGGGGGGGAGGGGAGGGGAGGGGAGGGAGGGGAGGAGGAAGGGGGGAGGGAGGGAGGGGAGGGGAGGGAGGGGGGGGGCCAAGCTAGGTGCGCTCGCGTCATATCTGACATCCCACCCCTTCCTCCCATCCCTTACCATGGCGTAGATCCCCTCTCTACTCGCACAGTCGGATGGCGAGCATGGCAATGATCCCGAAAGGGTACGCGATGCATTGTAGAGCACGGCATGGCATGGCGTAGACGAGCACCGCAAAGCGTAGTATGTCACAGCATGGCGTGGCGTGGCGTAGTCAAGAATTGCATCACAAAGCTTTGCAACGCAAAGCATAGCATCGCACAGCGGCCCCGAACATAACATTGCATAGCATGGCGTTGCAGATCAAAGCGTAGCATGGCATAGCACGACGTGGCACTTAAGCACTGCATATCACAGCTTCAGCTGAAGGCATGGCATCGCGCAGCGGAACGCAACCTAGCATTGCATTGCATGCCGTGGCATGGCACGGGACATGACGCCAGCGCTGCAGCGGGAGCACGATTCGGAACAAGCGGAAGCGCGGAAATGACGCCAGCGCTGCAGCGGGAGCACGATTCGGAACGAGCGGAAGCACGGAAATGAGGCCAGCGCTGCAGCGGGAGCACGATTCGGAACGAGCGGGGCCCGAAAATATTGCCGGCGCCTCAGCGAGAGCAGCATTTTGGAACAAATGCAGGCGAAAACCCAACTCCGGGGAATCCTGTGTGTAAAAAACAGTACGCGGGGGAAGGAGGAGAGTAGTATTCATATTGAGTAATTGTAAAGAAGGGAGGGGAGGGAGGGAGGGAGGGGGGGAGGGAGGGGAGAGGGAGAGAAAGGGGAGGGTGGAAGGGGAGGAGGGAGGGAGGAGTAGCTAGCGCGTGAGGAGGCAGGGAGGCTCTGCTCTGTTCGCCGCGGGGCTTCGCAGAGACCATGGTCGATTCGCGGGTGTGGATCGCAGAGGGCCGGCAGAGACAGCGTTCACGCCATCCTCGGGGACCCATCAAACAACACAAAAGATACAGGAGCGCCCACCGCAGGCCCGAGAGGATGCGCATCGAGGATGCTTGCGTGCAGGCGGGTCCGCCTGGCGCCGTCCAGGGGAACAGTGACTGAACAAAAAACTCGGAGGTCCGCGCGGATTTCTCGGATCGCCGATTGAGGCCCCTTGGCGGCGCCTCCAACGCCGCCCCTGGCGCGCTCCGCGCGCTGGGGAGGGGGTCCAGTGCCGATCTGAGCAGTCCGCGCGGACCTCCAAGTTGTTGTGTCTATGCCACTGTTTGTTCCCCGAGGTTAGCAGGACGGGGATGCAGAAGCACGGGCAGGCGCGTGAAGATGACATGCAAGCAGGAGCAGAAGAGCGCGAGGGTCGATGCGCTAGAAGCTGGGCCCTCGCACGGGCGCGAAGATGACCGCGCTTCGCGGCCTGGGCCAGAGAGCTGCTTCTCTCCACAGGGTCTCCTCCTCCTCCTCCTCCCCTCCCTCCCTCCCTCCTCCCTCCCTCCTCCCTCCTCCCTCCTCCCTCCTCCTCCTCCTCCTCTTCCTTTCCCTCCTCCCTCCTTTCCTCCTCCTCCTCCTCCTCCTCCTCCTCCTCCTCCTCCTCATCCTCATCCTCCATCCTCATTCTCGTCCTCATCCTCATCCTCCCTCCCTCCCTCCCCCCCTCCCTCCCTCCCTCCCTCCTCCCCTCCCTCCTTCCTCCTGCTCCTCGTTTTTTGCTTCTCCTCCACCTCCTCCTCCTTTCTCCTTCTCCTCCTCCTCCTCCTCCTCCTTCTCCTCCCTCCCTCTCCTCCTCCTCCCTCCCCCCTCCCTCCCTCCCTCCTCCCTCCTCCCTCCTCCCTCCTCCCTCCCCTCTCCTCCTCTTCCTTCTCCTCTCCCTCCTCCCCTCCTCCCTCCGCCTCCTCCTCCTCGTCCTCTTCCTCCTCCTCCTCCTTCTCTTCCTCCTCCCCTCCTCCTCCTCCTCCTCCTCCTTTCTCTCCTCCTCCTCCTCCTCCTCCTCCTCCTCCTCATCATCATCATCATCATCATCATCATCATCATCATCCTTTCCTCCTCCTCCTTTCCTCCTCCTCCTCCTCCTTCTCCTCCTCCTTCTCCTTCTCCTCCTCCGGGTTCGGGGCGCGCGAAGGCAGCCGCACGTCGCGTTTCGCCGCAGCTCGGAGCGCCAAGCTTGGCGACCTTATGAGGGGAGAACGGTCAATGGAGAGGAAGCATGCTGCCAGAGAGTTTCCAGATGTCTAAAAGGTTGAAACATGTTTAACATATGTAAAAGCCATGTTTGAACCATGCTGAGAACATTGTTTCCTACACTTTAAACACATCTTTTCATTCAGTGACAGGACTGTCAGAGTGCCCATGGTCATGGCACCCACAACCTCACGAGGGGAAGACGTCAGGGGCAGCGTCAGGAGGCCGCGACAGGGCGGTGGGCGGCGCGTCAGCCACGAAGGGCCGATCGATCGCCGACGGGGGGGGGCCCGGTCGCCCACCCCGCGCCCGCTCAGGGGCCGTGCCGTTTCGCCATCGGGGCCGATCGCCGACCTGTGGACTCGATGTGTCGTCGTTTCCAGGTCAGCTCGGGGGGTGGACAGGCCTTTCCCACCCCGACGCGTCGAGGAGCGAATTGGACGTTTTCGGTTCGCGAGAGGGCGCCGCGGCCGTCACTTTTGCGGGTCCAGGTCCGTCGGTTTCGGTCCCAGGCCGTTTTTACAAGGGGGAGGTTTGCTAAAGGGAGGTTTGTCCACCGAAGAATGTCCTCCCCCGAGATGGTTCCCCATTACAGTGGAAACCCATGCCAAGAAATATTCTGCTTGCCTCCAGGGTGCCATGGGTTTCTTGGGTGTCGATGGCTCTGGTATGGAGAGCGTGGCGCTCCCACACCAAACATCAAAGGACGTCCTAGGGTCTCAGCTCAGGGTTGGGTTCATTGTGGAGGGTTCTCTTGTGATCGAGCTCCTGTTGTGTCGTCGTTTCCAGGTCAATGTCCCCCCTCGAGCTCGTTCCCCCTTAACGTTGCCCCTCCGTGTTTTTTGATCGGCGCGGGTCTCTGGTCCCCGTCGCCCCCCCATAGACCGGATCTTGGTTGTTGCTTTGCTACTGTTTTGGACAATTGGTGTTTTAAGTCGGGCATGCCCCTTTACAGGAGGAATATTCGAGAATGGTCGAAAATAGTCTGGGGACGATGTTTCGATGTTTGTTGATTATGCTTGATTGCTTTCGGGGTATGATTTACTATTTTCTCCAACTACCCGCCTGCAGGAGGACACGCCCGACCCAACCCCAGTCTGCTTGCGCGACTCGTAACATCAGATCGGCCAAGCACTGGCCCAGACCAAGAGCCCCCCCCTCCCTCCACCCTTCGGTCAAGCGTCGAAGCCCAGAAACAAAGCAAGCTTGCGCGAGGTGGCCCAGACCCAGACCCTGCCCCCCCCCTCCACCCTTCGGTCAGGCGTCGAGGCCCAGAAAAAAAGCGAGCTTGCGCGAGAGGATCGGCGGCGGGCCTGGGGGGGGACATGAGGGAAGGAGGAAGCCTTCTCAGAAGGCGGCGGGGGCTTCTCAGAAGGAGGACGAGGATGAGGAGGAGGAGGAGGAGGAGGAGGAGTAGGAGAAGGTGGAGGAGGAGGAGAAGGAGGAGAGAAGAAGGAGAAGGAGAGAGGAGGAGGAGGAGGAGGAGGAGGAGGAGGAGGAGGAGGAGGAGGAAGGGAAGCAGGAGCGCCCGTACCAGGAGGAGGCCTTCTCAGAAATCCTCGCGCCTTCCGAGAAGCTGCCCGTGTCTTTGAGCAAGGCTTCCAAAGGGTGGCGGTCACGCCTAGACGACACTGCCCTTGCCGCCGTCGACGTCGACGTCGGCGTCCCCGCTGCTCACGATGGCCCCGAGATCCGCTCAAGAGCGGCCCCCGACGGCGTGTTCGTGTCGTGCGGATTTTGGCGTTGGTTTCTGACACCGTGAGGATCGTTCGACCTCGAACGATCGGTCGTTTCCGAAACGTCAGATCGTGCAACGTCGGCCGATTCTGGTTCGCCAGCGGCGTTCACGCCAGTCGACACGACACGAGCCTGCCATGCTTACAGGTTTTATCTATATTTCTAGGCTTCCTAGATGGTGTCGGAGAAGATGGGGTCAGAGGATCGCGCCGCATCGCCGAAGCATCGGCGATGCATCAGCGATGCGGCTCGATGTTGGGCCCGATTTTCTCCACGCCGACGTCGCCGGTGCATCGCCAATGCATCGCCGATACATCGGCCATACATTGGCGATGTGGCGCGATCCTTCGACTCCATCTACTCGGACCACATCAAGGAGTTCTGTAATAAGCATAAGCTCCCGACGGTCCGCGCGGATGTCTTGTACGGTCGGAGCGAGGTATCAGATCGAGGTCGGCTCGGGGAGTGCACCCTCGCGTCCTTCGTGCTTGTGGCGTGCCCATCGGCATCCCTGGGGGAGGGTGCCCTCGAATGCTCTTCCGTTTGACCGGCGGAGGGTCTCTCATGCTTTTGAGAAGGATGTTCTTCCGTCCTGTGCCCGGCCCTATCGGCGCGGGGCCCCCCAGCGGCGCCTCTGGCGCCGCCCCTGGCGCGCTCCGCGCGCCGAGGCGGGGAGGCCCAGCGCCGATGCGAGGAAGCCGCGCGCGGTCCCCCTCCCCCTGGGCGGTGACCACACCGTGCGGTGAGTCGATGGGGATCTGGGGTCACCGCACGGTTCTGGGACTCGGGCCGTTCTCCGAGGAGGTCTCGGGCGGCAGGGGCCTCCGGGGTCCCAAGCCCGTGCGGCGACGGAACATGCCGTGAGGTGTCGGGGGAATTCGAGGTCACCGCACGGTCTGTCACCGCACCGTTTCGGGACTCCAAAGCCCCGAGGACAAGGAGGAGCAGCGAGGAGGAGGAGGAGGAGGAGGAGGAGGAGGAGGAGGAGGAGGAGGAGGAGGAGGAGGGGTGGACTTCGCTTCGGGTGCGTGCGCCCAGTGGCCTGCCGAAGAAAGGGGGGGTGGAGAAGGAAAGGCCCCCGAAGGGGGCCCTTCTCTCCTCGGCCCCCCACCCTGTTTTGGAGCCAGCAGGGGGCCCCGCACGGGGCCCTGCCCCCCTCGTGGGCGCTCTGCGTCAGGGCCTCCAAGGGGGGCCGCTTTGTAGGGCCCCTTGCCGCGCGCCCGAGGGAGGGCGGGCCTCGCCCTGGCCAGCCTGAAGTCGGGCCTGCTCCTCTGACGGAGGAAGGGTCAAGCCTAGTCAAGAGAGCGTCTGGGGACGAGCTTCGATCATCTGGAACCATTCATGATTTTTGTCCTTTGAATGCTGCCACTTTCATCGGGCGTGTCCCGGCCAGCCTTAAATCGGGCGTGTCCCTCTGACGGAGGAATGGCCAAGCAGAGTCAAGAAGGTGTCTGGGGACGATGTTCGATCATTTCTATGGACCGTTTATGATTTTTGTCCTTTGACTGCTGCCACTTTGTCTTTTCAGATCCGCCGGTAGGAGGACGTGCCGACAGAAGGCCAGCCTCTCGGGCCGCGCTTTTTTGCGGGGGGCAGCGGGGGCCTCCTCCACCCGACGCCCGGGAGGCCCCTGGCATCGGCGGCGGCGGCGGGCCCAGGCATCCGATGCCGCGAGTTGGAGCAAGCCGGGGGGCCACGGTGGCCCAGCACTTTGTGGGCCCCGGAAACGGCAGGGCCCTTTCTTTTACCACCTCCAGAAAAATGTCCCTTGAAAGTGGAAACGGCAAAAACACGGCGACCGGAAACGGCAAAAAAACGGCTCCAGGATTGGAACCAGAGCCTGAACCGGTCGAAAAACGGCGACGGAACCGGTATAAAAACGGCGTCGGAACCGGCAAAAAAACGGCAAAACGGAACCGGTAAAACAACGGCCCTGTCGTTTCCAGGGCCCACTAAGGCCCAGCATTGGTGCTCAGGCGATCGCAGACACGTATCAAGGGTTCCGCTTCCATGGGAGATCGCACCTTTTTCCTCCGCCGAGCGGGGCGGCACTGGCCGAATTTTGGGGAGGGCACCTCCCCCGATCCATGGATTTGGCGACCGCGCGCCGAATCCATGGATCGTGAATCCATGTTTGCGCACACCCGAGGTCTGCGGCAAGCAGGAGTCGAACAACAAACACCCACATAAACGTAAACTTGTGGCGCTCCGCGCGGATTTCTTGGTTCCGCGCTGGCCCCCCCCCCGGCGACGCCTCTGGCGTCGCCCCTAGCGCGCTCCGCGCGCCAGGGAGGGGGGTCCAGCGCGGATCCAAGAAATTCCGCGCGGACCTTTGAAAGGTTCTGCTCATTTTGTTTTGCTCTTCTGCGGAGGGCGGGGGGATGTTCGAGGTTTTGGGTTCGGGAAGGTTCTCTCCATTCTTCAGTCTCGGGAGGGCGTCTTTGGGCCCCAGGACTGTGAAAAATTGCTCCGGGGTGGAAATCCGCATCAGCGTCGGCGTCGACGCCGACCTCGTCGTTTCTCCGGTCGCGCGCGGATAGGTGGTGACATCTGAACCTTACACCTTCAACCACCGGTTCTTCCGAATCGATGGGAGGCGGGGGTGGGGTTCGGGCTTTGCCACACGTCCGACGACGAATTTCGCACCTTATTATTTCCCGCCGCCCATCGAGTTGCCTGAGTCGAGTATATTATACGGATTGACTGTGTCGGCGTTGTGCCCGCTGACGACGCCTCCGGCGCCGCCCTCGGCGCGCTCCGCGCCTTAAGGCGGAGTGGGGGGGGGGCCAGCGCCGGCGCAAGGAATCCGCGCGGGCCTCCTCCCTCGAGCGGGGGGTGGCAACTGGGGGGGGGAGAAGAGGCCCCACAGGGGCCCGAGAGGGCCCCCTGTGGAGGTAGCAGGGGCCCAAAAGGAGCCCCAAAGGGCCCCTGTCGGGCCCTTGTGGTCACCCCCCTCCCTTTGGGAGCCAGCAGGAGCCCAAGAGGGGCCCGATAGGGCCCCTTTGAGGCTCTTTCCGTCAAGGGCCCCAAGCGGCCCTTGACGCCCGCTGGGCCCCCTTTTGAGAGGCAGCTGGGGCCGAGGGTGAAGTCGGGCATGTCCCTTCACAGGAGGAGTATCCCAAAGTAGGAAAACCTCCTCAGGGGACGATGCGTTCCTCATTTCCTGCTGCTGTCTCAGACTATTCCCCGTTTTTTCTCCAGGATCCGCCGGAAGGAGGACGTGCCCGGCCTCAGCCGAGGGCAGGCTTCAGCTCCCGCCGCCGGTCGGAGGCCCTGGAGGGCGGGGCCGCGGAGCTCTTCGCGCCCGCGGCGGAGCTGGCGAGGGGCGCGCTGGCCGCGGAGGCGCTGCAGGGGCTGCGGGAGGCGCCGGCGGGCTCCCGGGCGGGAGGAGGAGGGCGACGACGACGAGAACGACCGCCGAGAGCGACGGCGACGGCAACGACGACGACGACGACGAGGACGACGACGACGAGGACGACGACGAGAACGCCGACGACGACGGCGGCGACGACGAGGACGACGAGGACGAGGACGAGAACGAGGACGAGGACGAGGACGTCGCGGACGGCGAGGACGACGAGGGCGTTGAGGACGAGGACGAGGACGTCGAGGACGACGAGGGCCTCGAGGACGAGCACGAGGACGAGGAGGATGTGGACGTGGAGAATGAGGACGTTGGATCGGCGGCGACATGCGAGGCCTGTCCTCGCCGATCGACAAGATTCCAGGCAGCTCGATGGGCGGCGGGGGGTCATAGGGTTCGGAACTCGTCGGGCACGCGGCGGAGCCCGAAGCCACCACCCGCCTCCCATCCATTTGGGAGAGTCGGTGGTCGGTGGGGGCAGGTTCAAGTCGGGCCTGTCCCTCTGCAGGAAGAATATGCAGAAATAGTACACAAATAGTCTGGGGACGATTTTGTTCGATCATTGTTGCGCCTTTTTTCTGCATTCTTTTAACTATGTGTTCATTTTCGCCCGAAATCCCCCTGTAGGGGGACAGGCCCGGCCGAAGGGTATAGGGTTCGGAATGCGTCGGGCACGTGGCGAAGTCCGCACCGCACCCCCGCCTCCCATCGATTCGGGCGAGCCGGTGGTTGGTGGGGGCAGGGTTCGGATGTCGCCAAAGAACGGGTCGGCGAATATGATGGGTGTGGTCATGCGGGGGTGTGGTTTGCGGTCGGCGCCGTCGGAGCTTGTAGGGGTCGCCACGTTGCGCGAAGAAGGTTTCGATGAGTCCTCGTCAAGGCGCGGCAGAGATCTCAGTCGAGGTCCTTGCCCGCCCCCCTCTTGGCGCAGGTTGCAAACCCCACCCTTTCTGTGCAAACCGCACCATTCGGAGTCGCCGAAATGCGAGAGGGATAGAGGGGAAACGGCAGAAAACGGAGAGATGATGAGGGAGGACGAGGGGGGGACCAAAGTCAATGCCAGACGCATCAACGATGTTGCAATATACTCTCTCCAAGTTCTCTCTTCATATATCCATACAAAAAAGCCATTATCATTGCGGGGAGCGCACCATTGGAAGATAACCGTTAGAGAATCCTCGATCGTGCCATCATTCCTTGGAATTCAGCGCCGCGAATCAACGTGATAGTTGCCCCCAGTAGATCTTGCCGTCTTGCTGGCCTCTCTGGGCGCTTCAGGGCCGCCTTGGAGACACTCTTGGGCGTCTTGCAAGCCTCTTGGGGCCGTCAGGGGGCCATCTCGGAGGCCTTTTGGGAGCTCTTGAGGCCATCTTGGTGGCCTTTGGGGCCGCCTTGGCCGTCGGCAAGAAAGCCGAGACAGTAAACGCCCAAATCCTCCAAGAATATCGGGAACATGACTGGTTTGGGGCTCTTCGGTCCTTCTGGAGGTCCTCTTGGATACCTCTTTGGCAGTTTTGGAGACCTCTTGGGCCGTCTTGACCGATCTTGGGGCGGTGGGGCCTTGGTATCGCTCGGACGTGTGCACTTTTTCTCGGCGGGGATTATTAAGGAGCGTCCTAGATCATCCTGCGACAAAAACCACGCACGAAAGCGAAAACAAGCACAGGGAATGGACGTCCGAGCGACGGGGAGGGGCCATGGGCCAGGTTTTTCGCTATTTTCAGCCTCTGCAGGGGTCCCTCACAGGGCCCCGGGAGCTCCAAGAAACGACTCGGGACGAAAAACCGGCTTTGGGGCACCGATCTCTGGGGGTCGACGTTGCGTGAAACAGTGACTCCTGCACAGCATGTGATACAGGAAGTGTAGTATCTATTCTTTATCTCAGATTGGAAGAGCCTCAGGCATGTGGGGCTCAAGTTCGAGTTCAGAGCAAAAGGTGCCACTTCACAAGTCATGGTAGCGATTGCGAGGTGAGCCCCACGTGCCTCCAGGCAGCGGCCGATGCGCAATGGCGGCGACGGTCGAGCAGATGAGAGAGCTGGCGGACAGGCTGCTGGCGCTTGAGAGAGACAATGCCCAGATGGTCGAGGAGCTCCGACGCGTGAGGCAAGAGGGTCCTCACCAGCAGATCGTGGAAGCGTTCAGAGAAGCGCTAGAGGAGACTCGAGGTCGGAGGTCAGGCGGCAATTTCATCGACACGAAGGGACTCAACAAGCCGTCGGTGTTCTCGGATGACGAGTCATCATTTATCACGTGGTCGAGGAAGCTGGAGAATTTTGTGGCCAATGTCTATCGTGAGGCAAGAGAGCTGCTAGCCATTGCCGCGGAGCAGGTGGAGTCGGTCACGTACCAAGTACTTCAAGGGGATGATCTTCAGAACCCGAGGATCGGCCAGGAGATGTTAGAGGAGATCGATGACCAGTTGTATGTAGTGCTCTCGTCGCTGACGGACGGCGAGGCGTTCAATATCACGGTATCAGCAGGGAGTGGCAACGGCTTTGAGGCGTGGAGGCGCTTGAACAGGCGCTTCGACCCCATCACGGCAGGCAGGTCGCGGAGCATCCTCCGCAGTATCATGGACCCAGGCAGGGCTAAGCTTCAGGACCTCCAGGCTGCCATCGAGAGGCTGGAGGAGTTGATGAGACGTTACGAGAGCCGGAGGGACACCGCAGGACAGCGCCGCACGCTCGCAGAGGACATCAAGATGGCGGCGCTGGAGGCCATGCTCCCAGACGAACTAGAACGGCATGTGCAGATGAACAAGAATCGCATCACGTCCTATGCCCTGATGCGTGAGGAGGTGACCACCTGTGCAGAGAGCCGCGCCGGTGTCACGACTAAGGCAGCGGCCAAGCCCCCGTCCAAGCCTGTCGCCACGGACCCGGATGCCATGGACACCAGCGCCCTCTGGCGCGACACTGGCAAAGGCAAGAAGGTTGAATGGAAGGGCAAGGGCAAAGGCGACAGCAAGGGCAAGGGCAAGGACGGGAAAGGTAAAGGCAAAGAGTCCAGCTCCAAGGGTGGCAGGCAGTCCGGCAAGAAGGGATCCATGAACGACGCCTACGGCTCCGCCAAGCAGATGTGCTGGAACTGCGACAAGCCTGGCCACGTTGCAAAGGACTGCTGGGCGCCACCTCGTGGACAAGGCAAAGCAGGAGGAAAGCAAGGAGGCAAGACGAGTAAGGATTCGAAGAATAGCTCGAAGGGAGGTCAAGGGAGCCTAGATTACGAACCAGAGCAGGAGCGCGACGCCGGTGCTCTGGAAATGTGCTGCTTGGACTCGAGGCATGACGAGTGCCTTCAGCTGGCGAGCTTCGAGGACTCTGAGAAGAGCCGATGGGTTCGGATGAATTTCGACACGGGCTCCGCGAAGACGGCATTCCCTCTCGAGATGGATGGCGGCGAGGCCATGAAGACGGAGAGTGTCCTCAACTTCAGGACCGCCACCGGGGAGATTATCAACAGCACCGAGGGCTACAGCATTCGCGGCATCACGGAGCACCAGCAGCTGCTGAAGTTCAAGGGCGTAAAGGCGCCCGTCCACAAGGTGCTCCTCAGCGCGGGAGATGTCACAGGAGCAGGGAACGATGCATTCCTCATGGGCGACTTCGGTTACATCATCCATGGGAACTCCCCGGTGCACGCAGAGCTGAGGGCCGCGTTCAGAGAGATCGCGGCACGGCACAGTTACGAAGGCATCGTCACCATGTACAAGGAAAGGAACGTGTACAACCTCTACGTGAACGTGAATAAGGACGAGGAAGGCGGGCACGACCTGTGCCCCTACGACGAGGGCCAGCCGGGTTTCCGGCGGCCGGGCCAGCGCCTGTAAGTCCAGCAGGAGCGGGAGCGGGCGGCGAGCCTGCAGCCAGCGCTCCCGGAGGTGATGAAGAGATGCAGGCAGAGGATGAAGCTGTGGAGCAGGAGGTGCCGAAGCAACCTCACCGAGTGAAAGCTCCAACGAGAGAGGAGGTAGAAGATCACGAGTCCAGCGGCCACGCCGTGTACCGCACGTGGTGCCGGCACTGTGTCGCTGGAAAAGGCCAGCAGCACCCGCGCCTGAAGCAGACAGAGGAGAGCTTGGAGGTGGAAGCATGCTTCGACTACGGCTATATGGGCAGGCGTGCAGAGGAGTGCGCGCCGATTATCTGTGCGAGGGAGACGGGCCAAGGAAGCTACGCAGCCACGACGGTGCCCACGAAGGGAGCGGCACCGTACGCCATCGCCTACATGGTCGGCTGGTTGAAGGGCCTTGGCTACAAGAAGATCATATTCAGATCGGACAACGAGCACGCGCTGCTGAAGCTGCTGGACAAGGTCTCGGAGAATCTCATGGGCGTGGAGTGCGTGCCTCGCACATCGCCTGAAGGGGACAGCCAGGCCAACGGGAGAGCAGAAGCAGCGGTCAGGGAGATCAAGAACCAGTGCCGGGTGCTGAGGAGCGAGCTGCGCGAGAAGTATGGGAAGCCTATCCCAGAGAAGTGCTCGCTGTTCACGTGGCTGCCAAGGTTTGCGGCCAACTGCGTGAACCGCTACAGGCTCGGCAAAGATGGCAGGAGCGCAGAGCATAGGCGCTCCGGCAGGAGATGGAAGCGCCCGGCGGTCAACTTCGGCGAGAAGGTGATGTACCGCCCGGCAGGGGCGGTCAAGAGCCAAGCGAGCTTGGAGGACAGGATGAAGATGGGCATCTACGTCGGGCATCATGAACGATCTGGGGCCTCGATGTTCATCACGGAAGGAGGTATGGTTCGAGGAGTCGGTATCCATCGACTTCCTGCAGGTGATCGATACGACATGGACTACATGATGAAGTGCAAGGGATGTCCATGGGCGCCGTCTGAGCGCGGCACCGCGGACAAGCCGATGGTGGGCGCCGCGGATGGGCCGGAGGTGATTGAGATGCCGCAGCCAGCGGCGACCGCGGCAGGAGGATCAGCCGCAGCAGGAGGAGGAGGCGCACGTGCCAGTGCGGAAGATCCGAGCTCGGGCACGGCGTCGT